GATACCGGTAGTGCTAGCCCCCACAAAAAAGGAAGAAAAAAAAAGACAGAAAAAGAAAAAATACAGCAAAGAAACAAACTAACGACCAAGAAACCCATTTCTTTTCTGCGGGTTCGGAATGCGCTTCATTATCCCAAAGTGCTTCCCAGTTTTGTTCGTGGCAACTAGTGTTCGTCAATGATAGAAAATGCATCGTGATTTTTCACTTTTCCAGTTCGAAACCTACCTCGTGTTTGCTTTGTCCTTTTCTCAGTAATGCATTGTGGCTGTAGATTAAAATGCGACTTGTAGCTATGTTTTATTTTAGTTTATGGCATGGAAACCTGGCTCTAAGTGTTCAGCCTAGCGCTTACTGTCCTAAGCCGTTTATCATTTGCATGTATACGGTTATTTCTGGAAATAGCAACACGGTTTACAATGTATTAGTCTTACCACTTTGCCTTAGATTCTCGATGATTATCGTTATCATCTCATGCGCAGTAACTAGGTCTACAAGTATAAATCAACTCTGGAATGATAGACCAGAGAGAGAGTTTTTGTTTAGGGGTTCTTTGTGTGGGGTTGTTTTTTTGTTGTTGTTGTTTTGTTTGTTTTGTTTTTTTTTGTTTTTTTTTTTTTGGGGGGGGGGGGGTTATTAATATACAAAGATCTCGATTTCGGAAGGTACGTCAGTACGGCTGTTTTCAATAGTTTAGATACTTAGAATTTCGCCTGCGCCTGCCAACAAAGGGACGCAATCGTTATAGAAAGGTTGCCGATTTTCGTGACAACGTGTCGTTAATGTTGGAATCCATTTCTTGAATATATCAGGTTCATTTCTTCTGTTAATCGAGACAAATAGGGTCACGATATAGCTATACTTACGGAAACCCCCAGCAACTCGAATTAGTGTTCAACACCCAAATCGATACACTTTAGATCATTAAGAAGGTGGATTACTTCGACGCTGCTAATCAGGGTGCACTGCAGAGTAGCGGTAAAGGGAAACGCGGAGTTAAAAGAACCGTATTGAGCTACACAGAAATTCTAGACAAGCGTCGATGGTAAGGTGGTGAAGCTCTTTTTTGGTGTTCAAAAGCCCCGGGGGTTTGGTTTTTAGAAAGGGGGAAAATCCCCCCCCCCCCCCCCCCCCCCCCCAGGAAGACAGTGACGCCTGATCAGAAACTCCATCTGGGTGGTTGGCGGGAGCGCTGGTGCGGTTTGCTCCTTCTTTCCTACCGAACATCTATAATCCTTATCTCCCCTTCTTCTATTTATGTGTGTTACTCTCTTGTAACACCTCTATTCTTCTGGCGCTCATATGACCTTATGCAGTTGCGAGCGCCGTAAAACCTCTACTAAAACTAAAACTGAAAAAAGAAACTCCACTTCGCGGGACTTGAACTGATAACTTCGGTGTCTGCCCACCATGCCACAGACGCTGGTCTAGAGATTTTGTAGACACTTCATGGATCGCAGCTGTAGGTCCCTTGCCGTTTAATACTTACACTCTACGTTAGGCGGGTAGTTGACGGGCGCTTTAATGTGGTTTACTCCTTCTTTCCCATCTAACATAATAATGTCATGATCGTTCCCCTTTTCGGTCTTTGTTACTCTAGTGTAACACCTCTAATCTTTGGCACTTATAATATGACCTAATTGCGTTGCAAGTGCCGTAAAACAGTTCCAAAGGCAAAACTAAAATTTTTAAAACCTTTACGTTTTCTTTTACCACTAGTCTACGACGCACTGTGGACAGTTTACTTAGCGGAATGATATCCATTCTTTACTGCACGAAAGTCGTTAGGCCACCAAATTGTAAGGGTTTGGGCACCACAAATAGTTAAAGGTGGAAGTGTTTTTAATAGGGGCAATATGAGGCACAGACGCCGGCTAAATTATTCCTGGTCAAATCGCACAATAACATGGGGAAATATGCATGCAAAAGTAGATAACGGTAGTCTGTTCCTTAATTCTACCGAGCCTACACAGTGACATAATATGCTGAACGTCATCCCATAAGCGCCCAAGTCATTTTTTAAAGCTTTGAGAAAATACTCAGAAGAAAATAATGAAGCGAAACAAAAGTATGTTGAAAGATGCCCCTCGATGTATTTATTCGAATATCGGCTTTATCGGGACGACACCCCCCCCCTCCCCCCATATTGATTTGGGCAATTGCGGGATAACGCTGATGATATGCAAACTCTACAGACGGACAAATGAGAAAGTGTGTAAACAGCACCTGTTTCAGCTGTGGTGACCACGGGGTAGCGTCCAGGCGGCAGCGGGTGTGAGAACGTGGCCCATACGGCGGCGGTTTATATAGATTGTCGTCTGCCGCTGGGTGCCGGCCGGAGACATCCGCTCTCGTCATTGACGACACGACAACTCTCTGGCGCCGCTCACGCTCCGGCTCTTTCTTTTTCCTCCCACAGTTGTGTCTGTCGTCCTCTCACAGTTGTTTCCGTCGTCCCCTCGTCCTCTCACAGTTGTGTCTGTCCGTCGTCCTCTCGTCCTCTCACAGTTGTGTCCGTCGTCCTCTCGTCCTCTCACACACAGTTGTGTCTGTCGTCCCCTCACAGTTGTGTCTGTCGTCCCCTCACAGTTGTGTCTGTCGTCCTCCTCACAGTTGTGTCTGTCGTCCTCTCACAGTTATGTCTGTCGTCCTCTCACAGTTGTGTCTGTCGTCCTCTCACAGTTATGTCCGTCGTCCTGTTACAGTTGTGTCCGTGAAGACTATACATGATTGCAAATTAATGGGTCAAGTAAAAAAAATAGAAGCTAAGTCGAATTTCTTCTGCCACAACATAGCCTATTTTAAAGTTTTTAAAACGATGGACTTGGCTTTTTTCTGAACTTGATTTGTTTTTCTAGAAATACAGTTTGGGAATGTGTAAGTTTGTATTTCACTCGATTGATTTCATAGGAACGTTCTTGAGGTACTGTTGAAAGTTAAGGGCTGGTACCCAAATGTTTTGTGAATAATTTTCTAACCTCCTTACAGTAAAATTATGTATTTCACTCCTCCAATTTGGATCATGTAGGGGTTTGGCTTTTTCAATGGTGCCAGTGAGGGTCATCCCGGGCTGATGAGGGTATAGTACCCCGGCAGAAAGACAGAAATACAGTTTAATAACTTCCCTGTTCGGGAATTGTACTCACGTCTTCCGCGTGTAACGGCGTGGGTGGTTGGCGGGTGCTATGGTGTGGTTTGCTTGTTCTTTCCTATCAAACGTCTATTATCTTTATCTCCCCTCCATCTTTTTTTGTTTTTGTGACTTTCTTGTAACACCTAATCTTCGGCACTTATAATATGACCTTATTGTGTTGCCAATGCCGTAAAAGACTTACTAAAACAAAAATTAAAAAACGCCGAAAAATCTAACCACAGTTAGGGAATTTCCTTGAGAGGGGTGTGGAGGTTGCAAATTCCACTCCTTACTTCACGCATACGGCTCATTTGGCAGATGGCGTTTGACTCTTTAATAACACATAGAAAGGCACAATTTAACGTACCACGTTATTCCCATAGCAACCTTGGTATATTCTACATTTTCAGTCACAAAAACAGTATTTCTATTTTAAAAGAAATACACTTAGTCTCTACTAGTGTGATCTTTTTTTTTTCGAAATGAAGATGAAAACTTGTTTCTAACGTGAATTTCTTTCTCATTGTCCAAAGATCAATATCATGTTGTTTTTTTTTAACTTGAATGAAACCTCGCTGAAAATCAACACTATTTTGAAAAGAGGCTTACGGGACTCAGTCAAGGTCGATAGCGCCGTAAAACACGAACTAATTACAGTCTGTTGTGTTCCTGGTATTCGCTTATACCTGACCTAATTGGATGCTGAGTGATTTGCTGCCCCAACTCAAATGGATCACTTCCTCATTTTCCTCTCCCTAATTGTTCCCTGTGAAAACTTCTTCAATTTCAAGGCTGATTCTATTCCTGGAGATGTTATTTCTGGATCAGGTTTTAGATTTCGGCTCATGACGTAACAAAGCATCAGACGGGGATCACGTGAGTTGTATTGGACTGCAGAAACCTTCCGAATAGGGGTACATGTAATCCCCAAGAGATCGTGAAATTCCTTGCGAAATATCCTGCTTGTGACCTTGATATGTAGCTGCAGTCTGCCTGTCGACGTGTTGTTTTTTTTATCTTTCTTTCTGCTTTAATTGTTCTTTTTTAAATATTTTTCTTTCTGCTTTAATTGTTCTTTTTTTTTTCATTTTTACACCTTTTCTGTTCACATTCTTCACCAACAGTGCCAAAAAATTTTCTTCAACTTCCAGTACTCTGGAGTTCACATTCTTTGGCGCTTAGTGAAAGTAGAAATACATTCTGACTGCTGACTGGGAGCAACTTGTATGACAACCAAGCCTGAAGGAAATCTGAGTTTTAAATGATAATTTTTTTACGTTGTCAGCTTTTCTTGTTCACTTTCTCCGCCAACAATGCCGGCCTATTTGCTCAACTTTCAGTGCACTGAGATGACCCCTGGAGTTCACATTCTTCGGCGCTTAGTGGAAGTTATGGCACATCTCTTTTTTAATGTGGGTGTTTTTACGCCCCCATCGACGCAGTTTTGACCCTGTCTGCCAGGTCCCAATCTGAAAGACCGAGATACTCGATAAAAATTCTACCCACTTGGGAATCAATCGAACTCGTGTGTTCCGCGTGCAGCGGCGACGCGTCTTACCGTTACACTACAGACGCTGGTGCTCCTCAGTATGCGAGTTGAGCAATTGTGAAGACTTTGTGGTTTGCTTAAGTTTCAACTCTCATGGTTTTTCTTGCAGTCTGTGCAATAAATCTGAACGGAAATGATTTATTATTTTTTAAAGGTACAAAACATAGTCCACCTGCAGCAACCCCAGTGGCATATTATATAGGCCTACAGTCTACTGTCTGCCTGGCCAGGACCCCCCCCCCCCCCGCCGCCAGGTGTAGGTGCATCACATGTTCCACAACAGCTGTAGACAAGGATATGTCTCTTTTCTTGCTACTCGCCATAACACTCTCTCTTTTGACCCCCTTTTTGGTCTGTCTGTCGACCGAGGAAATTTTCAACCGTTTCCTTAGAATGTCTCCCTTGGGGCAATGGCCAATTGTGGTTGCGATGGAAATAAATGTTGCTTCTCTAGACACGTCTTGCTTTGCGCACAGGATCTGGGAGTTGTTTTTAATACCATTGGTAACGTCATAGTGGTTGGGTTCTTTCTTATTCTTTTGATAAATTGATATATTATCATTTTTGATGACTCTCTCTGTATTTAGTTACCCTTTTTGTGAGTGATTCTATTACCTTGGGCGAGGAAGTCAGGACGGGAGTTCCGGCTATAGGGGAGCTCTCTTCTGGCCGCTGGGATGATGTTGGTTTCGAAATTATTAGGTTTCACCAAAGTCTGCGGTTCGATTTCGGGCGAGGGCACGAATGTTTGTCATCTTTAATCGAATATATCTTTTCAGCATAGATCCATGTGTGGGCGTGTGTGAGGATGAGGGAAGAGGGAGGGGGGAGTAACATCGTGTGTGGGTTTGAAACTGACTCACATTTTTTTAACATCTGTACTGAGTGACGACTACAGACGGACATCAGTTTTACAGACATTGGTCTTGTAAGTTAGTCAACGTTTGTTACAGCAATATGCGGTTACAAACACCATCTGTCTCGGAGGATGCTTAACGTTGATACCAATGTTGTCGACTGAAGACCCAGGTGAAAAGAGAGATATCACACGGGGCTTTGTCGTGACCAAGCCGTGGGAGACGAAACCGTGAAAAGACATGCTCCTCGTATGTAATTGATAGTTGATGGGTGCCCGGGTGATGTGTGCTCCTTTTATTTCTCTGTCTGTTATTATTGCTTTTTGCCTCTACAGGAGAACTGTTTTAAAGTTTTAGAGCGAACGAAAAATGGCTGCAGTTGGAATTGTGCTGTCACAGGCAGAGCAGTAAAGAAGTTTCCACCCCTGTGTTATTTGTAGGTGATTGGATGACCAAGAGAAAGAAACATTAATGACTTCCAAAAAGTGTTTATTGAAACTAATGTTAGGCATATCTTCCTCTGCTCCATTGAGTCACGAGGTTTGGACCCTCTATGCCGTTCCTAATAGAACGACCATTTATTTGTCACAGAAAGTTTACCCAACAAATTGTAGACTGTCTCCGCTCTTGTGACATTTGCTATTGTTAACCTACGCTACGAGTTGATGGTATCTTGGGCAGTAGGGGTGGGAAATTATAACATGTTGGTTTGACAGGGATAAGGAAATGATATTTGAATTCTACAAATGCGTGGGAGGGGAGATGTGGGCATTGAAGATTTCAGTCATTTACACTGGCAACGTCGTGGAAATGAATAGCTACCAAAAATATCATGAGAATTCCTTAGGCTGGGCTCGGGGTAAATCAGTCAATAAAAGAACCATTAGACAGAAGACCGCCCAGCGGCTGAAAATGTTCGACCCTCCTTGGTAGAAATTTACATTTTGTGGACATCTGAAAGGATTCGACAGGCTCCGGAACATAATAACAGAAAGAATGGAGATGTCCACAAGCTAGACCGCTGTTTTACCTTTTATTTGGGCGTAATGGAGCGGCCCATAGTGCCCACGTTTGGATGCGAAGGACTAAGAGAGAGGGAAGAGCGACGGCCACGACAGTGTGTGTCCAGGAGTACGATGTAGTGTGGAAATGTTACTCAAGAAGTTTTTGGACAACTGGTGACCAGATTCTCATGAGTGCTGTGTGTGGTTGCAAGTTGCTTTGGTGTGATTTGTTCCTACTTCTCGTTTTGTGACTATCTTGTGATACCTCAAATCTTCGGCACTTACATGACTTAATTTTGTTGCATGTACCGTAAAATGCTTACTGAAGCACACCC